ATGCTACAGAAACATGGAACAGGTGGGTTTGCTTTAAGCATTTGTTGCATTTCAATGGAGTATGATCACGCCCGGTTTTTGAAGACTGCACAAATAACATCTAATGCATTGTCCTAAGAAGGAACAGGTCTGCTAATTTTTGTGTCTGCAACGGAGAGGCTTTAGTGGCAATGCCAGGATGTGGAGTGTGACCCTGTGTCTGATTATGCTGTTTTAAAGCCATCAAGGCAATAAAATGCTGCTTTGTTATGATACTTTGTAGTAGCAAATTCCTTTTTCTAAGAACAAATCAGTTTGTTCACCCCTTGTTCCTGTCATTTTGATGTTTATTCCTCTCCACTTCCCTCCTTTAGGAAGAATTCCAGACTTTGGTAGCACAATATCATGTATGTGACAATGATATGGAAAACCAAAGTTGGGCATTTTGTTTTTTTCAGTGATCACTATTCTCTGTCTTCTTCCTATGCCTTTTTTCTTTTCTCAACTTTTGTGTCTTTTTCCTCTGTTTTTCTCCGACACCTCCTTCTCTTTCCTTTTGACTGTCCCTTTTCTCTTTTTTCTTCTTTTAGGGGCAGACAGACAGCTGGACAAGAGTAGCTCTGCACTGTTTCCTGCACCAAAGCAGCCTGCTGCACTGGGTTTCTAACTACCAAATAAAACTGCACTATGGACACCACCTATAATAGGCAACAGCTTATCTGAAATGTAGGGTACGTCTACACTGGGAATCTTCAGCACTTTTCCCACCATTGTGCAGCGCAACTAGAGATAGCAATCACAGAAGCAGTGGTGTTGACGAGGCACAGACTTTATTTTACTACTGCCACACCTGGGAAATGCCTGGTAATAGACCAATGTTGGGAAAAGTGCTATTGTGAACAAGGCCCTACTTGAAGACTATGTCTAGCAGGAAAATGGAGTTTGCTGGGGCTTAGTTATTTAAGATTAGGTTGCCGTGTAGATGGTCTGCAACATTTTCTGTGAGGTGTAAACTTATCTTCAGTTTATTGTCAGGCAGTTAAAATCTGGCATAGGGTCCTGGAGATCCTAGATTTTCCTGTAGGCCCTTGCCTCTGACTTTCTGAAATGCTTTTGCTAGAGACTCCTACAGAGAAAGAACATGTTTGAGTGGCTTCTGTGTATGGTGCTTCCCCAGAGAGGCCAGAAGGGGCAGCAGGAGAATGAAGATAATGCTCTCAGCCAGGCTGCTAGGGAAATACCAGATGCAGAAATAATACAGTCACATTATTACTGTTTGTTTAATTCCTGAAATGAGTTAGGCCTTCACAGAATGTAAAGAAGACATGGCCCCTACCCCAAAGAGTTTGCAGTCTAAGCAAAGATGAAAGGCAAGGAGGACAAATTGAAGGGGTGGTGTAATGGAGGGAGGATAGGGGTTATGCACAAAGACTAGAATCAGGTTTCAGAGTGGTAGCCAGGTTAGTCTGTATCAGCAAGAACAACGAGGAGTCCTTGTGGCACCTTAGAGACTAACAAATTTATTTGGGCATAAGCTTTCGTGGGCTAGAACCCACGAAAGCTTATGCCCAAATAAATTT